TGGACAACCCGCTCCTCCTCCTGGGCCACATGTGTCCCCATGTAAGACCCTTTAATCTCTCCACACTGTGCCAGTGCTTTTGTTCTTGATTCCATGAGCTACCTGTTCACCTGCAGCTCAGAGACACACACAGCTTCTCATCCCTCCCTCCACTCATCTTTTTTCTGATACATTTTTACTGCCTTTCACTTTTTCCGCTCTCTCCCTCTGTGTTGTTCCTGATTTGCCCTGAAACACAGCAGCTCCCCCTCCGTCGTCTCCCGTCTCCAATTCTTTCTCATTTGTCTTCAGCTAACCCCACCTGTCACTTCTCATTCTCTTCTCTCTTAACCTGCTAACCCCACCGCCTCCCTTTTTCCCTTTTATCTCCCGCTCTCCGTCTTCCTCACTTTCTCCTTTCCCTCCTTCTTCGGGCAACCCCCCTCCCCTTTACGTTATGACTCGATCACTTTCCCATGACAGAAGCAGGGGCGGGAATCAAACAGCCGTCGTCTCTGCCTTCACCTGGTCTCTGAGCTCGGGCTGTGAAAGAAAGCTTTGTCCCCCTCCAAACCCTTCATCGCCCCCGGAGGTACGGCCTGTGTTGTTCATACAGGAAGGGACTTTGGTGAGACTGGAATTTTTGGGGCCCATGGGAAGGAATGAGCAACGTTAGAGCCTCAACTCTCCCTTTGACATCTCTGCCCACGGAGCAGACTGCATCTTACAATTCAAAAGAGACCTTCAATACTGTATTGTTATAACCATGAAAAAACAAAAAAAAATGCATTGGATGTGACTTTAAAGACAAAAAAAATCACAATAATAGAGAATTTTGGTGCAAATCCCAAAACACATACAAAATTCACATTATAATTCTCTAATTTTCTTTGTCTACAACAAAGTAAATCACTGGGACAAGCATTAAGATTTAAGAAAGGAAACGTGATTAAATACTTTATTTCAACACGCCACTCACATTTACTTCTGCTTTTTGAGACGTTAGCAAACTTAATTGCATCATAATCTATTCTTGTTATTGAGAATATTTCAGTTCATTATTTTTTTTGAGCCATTTTACCTGAAAAAAGTCTCCTCGTCTAGACTGAGCATCACAACCTTAGAACTGTAAAATAAGATCCTCATCCCTTTAGTCCTTATGTGTCAACGCTCACAGTCTGCACCGTCATTAGCGAGTGTTTCCACCACAAACGTGCCAGGGGCCTCTTCACTTTTACACGCCTGTGACCCACAGGCTCGCTGGGAGGAGTGACCCGGAACGACACCTGGTAAGGGAGGTCAGATGTCCGTTTGACACGCTGTCGGCCGGGGTAGGGGGGGGAGATGGGAGGTGCAGCAGCTGGGTCAGACAGGGAGCAGGTGGGATGTGGCATGATGAGGCACAACAGGTTCTTTTTATTTATTTATTTGTATTAAAGCTTCAACACACACACACAAAACTGCAGCCGGTGTGGCATTCACTGCCCTTTGTTATGCAAAACACCCCCAGTGTCACGGGTACATACATTTTTATGTTGTGGGTTATGAGCCCATATGGCTGAGCTGCCCAAATAACCCACGTGAATAATATGTGATAATACATTAAATAATTCAGAAAATATTGTTTACAAAACGTTTAGCTTATGTTGATTTCCTCACAATATATATAATATATAATATATATTGCAAACAAAACAATTAGGTCTAATTTTATGCATGTGCATTTTCTTATAATTAATTAAGGGGGAAATGTTGTTATCGGACAGGAGGTAAAAGAATATGATGCATGTGTGTATTACATATTTTTTTTGAGTGAAGCAGTTTCTTTCAAGAACCATTGGAGGAGCTATTGTCAAATGAAAGCACATCCCATCATACCTGTTAAAGAGAGAGAGCGACTGTGTCACTGCAACACATTCAGGGCTTCATGGATCCAGAGTAAACATGTGTGATGCTGACAGTATAAATACTATTTATACTCCTCACTATACTAATTAATACTTGTAACTATTGTAGTACTTGTAATCTGACCTGTGTAGGTTTCTCTTCATTTGAGTTGCAGATTATCTGTTAGACTGTTTGAATGAAACATTCCTGCAGAAGTTGTTTGTTTGAACAGAAACAGAAAATGAGAATCAAGTCATTTGTAGAATTAACCACATGCAGCACAACAAATATTTCTCCTGAGCTGACTCACACTCACAGCTCAACCCTTCACCCAGATACAGTGAGCGGGCGGAGGGTCAGGTTGAAGCCCCTCATGGGAAAAGTCTTGTGTTTTGTCAGGGCTGGTTTAGTTACCTTGTTTTACATAACATATCTGACCTCTGACCTTTCTCACTCGAGACTAGCTTATCTGTATTGGTTTTTCTTGATGGACATGTTTTGTATCCACTACAACTCCGACATTTCTTCTCTTCTCTACTTTTTGTTCCTCTGATTGACCTGATGAAGGTTAAATTGGATGTAAGATCTGATAAACATTCAAACTCAATTAGTTGCCAAGAATATTGACACATATACATGTATAAACATGCTGTGATA